GGTTCAACCAATGTACAAACCATTACATAATCATATTCAATATTATTTCTAGCTTATACAAATTTGCACTGCATGTACAGTAGCCCATAAATACATGTACTATCATTATTGCTAATCATACCATATATGGTAAGCAGAGCTTACTCTACATGAATCTCATTACTTCTAATGCATCCACAATTTGACCTATATTGAGTACAGGATACTATTTTCATACTTAACATTGTCTAATCCCCTAGTATCATAATGTAAACCAGTACTAATACACACACTCACACTACCAATAACCACACAATAGTACATAATAGTAATCAGTTAGTACAGTTAAAGTGTGTGTGTGTGTAGTATCCTATATACCTTGTTTATTGGCCTCAACCAGTGCCTCCTGTAGTGATACTTTGCTCTCATGAGCCACTTGTAGGTCTTCATGTAAAGATTGTATATATCTCTGAAGCTTCATTTCCCTCTCTGTCGGATATTCTATTAGCTGATCCATCCACCATCTTCTGGTCTTGCTGTACGATTCATACTTTTCTTGATAGTTCTTACTAGTGAGATCATTACCATCCAGTACTGACTCTACTATCCACTCACCAGCTTCACTATATACTGAGACACAATAAGATACATTATATATTTATAAATAAATGTATTTAATTTATAAACTAATGGTATCATTTATAGTGGTTGTAAATACACACCCACACATACAGTGGTATTGTAGTGTGTACAGTATACAAAATGAATGGAAAATGTATGTCATATTAGGAACTGAAATTTACGAATAATGTACATACTATAAAAATGAGTGGCACATTATTTAATGTAATTACCGGTATGTATTTAATGCTCATATCCTTACAATTGATTAATATTATCTTACCTAATTCAATTATCATTACTAGTCTATTAGTATCAGTGATATAAGTACCCATCGGCACCTTCTTTCCTCCTCCAACATCTTTCATTTCATACTCTTCACATCCTCCAACAATTACTAGCCACACACAGTGTGGTGACATTGTGACTGCTGTGAGTGAGTGACTGTATCTACCAGTAACAGATTCAGGTAGAGGAATCTGTAGATAAAGAGAAGTATACAAGTAATTACTGATACATGATGTTTATACAGTTACTTATAAAATGAGAAATTGTATCATTTCATATGATCGTTACATTTATTGCAGTTGTAAAATCAATTCTAATCCTTACCATCAACAAACAAAATAAACATTTTATTTCACATCATGTGAAGAATAACAAAGTAGATGTATGTGTACAAATATGCACATAATGCAATGTGTTAAATCAAATGTGTGGTTGGTTCTATTGTATTGTACACACACACACACACACACACACACACACACACACACACACACACACACACACAAAGGTTGGTTCACAAAATAATGTAATGTGTAACTTTTAATCAAATGTGTGGGTGGTTCTATTATATAGTTAATGTTTCATCAGTGATAGTGTTATCTACTGAACTCACTAACAATTACTTATCTATCATCAATATACATCAGTACTAGTGTCATACTCTCAACTGACCTAACTATACACACACACACATCATTACAGTACTATACACACACATACCTTCCTACAACTGTACTGACCAGTAGTGATACTATCAAATAACAAACATTCATTAACTAGTTGATCTCTCTTATCTGTTCCACCAATCACTACTAGTGTAGGTGAGGTAGAGTCACCATTGATAATAGCACTAGCATGATGGTCTCTCTCCATAGGCCACAGTCCCTCATTAGGTATTGCTCCTGGTTTCAGTATCTCCCAGTTCTAGATACATAAACAAATACTAATAATATCACTCAGCGTAAATATGAATAATGGGTGTGGCTATACAAATAATGGGTGTGACATGTAAAAATTAATCCTAATATTTAATACTTTGATGTTAATGAGGTGAGGTTAGTGGTTGTGTTTAGTATTATACATGTACAAGTACTGGAGGTATAACAAATCTATTGGTACACAATATACAAATGTACTTGATAATATGAAATACCATACTAAGCATGACTATACACTGTCTAATTATGAAAATATTTTATGTAGTATCAGAGTTTTGTGAATATTTAATATAATAATACACAAAATACAGTTAATATGAGTACAACACAATATATCCTCTAGTGATAATACTGAGATAATGTATTACTGTACAATACAATACAACAAAATATAATACAACTTACTATTATACTATGTGTCACACTGAATATGTAAACACTGTTAGTACTTGTACTCCCATCACCATTAACAGTAACCATACCCCCAAACATTACTCCTCTGTTACCGGTAGTAGTAATCTTCTCAATTATGAAAGTATCAGTTGATGGACAACACTGTCCACTGACAGATGGAACAGTGAATTGTCCTAAAGTGAAGAGAATACGGTGATCATCTATCAATACAAATTAAAAATATAAAGTACAATGTATAATTGCATATTATTGTACATGTACTGGTAATTTTTTAATAGAAAGATACAATTACTATTAGTAAATCAGTATAATGTATACACGTACATGTACAAAGCTATTTATTAATATGAATAGAATCTTACCAGTGGACACATTATAAAGTAACTGTTCATTAGTACGAACACGACCAGTCTTAAGTTGATCATATTGAAACTGAGGATGGTAAACAGTTGGTGTAGAACCAATCCCTCCTATTATGACAAGGTGTTCTGCTCCATCAAATTCCAGTGATATCATTCCACCATAGCCTTTCTTCATCAACGACTGTTCAGCATCACTGCATGAAGTCCACTCCATCTTTATCGTATTCAGTACATTCAACGTATTGTGGTAACAAAGATCTTGACCACACCATCCACCGAAGTAGTAAATATTAGAATGAGAGGTGGTACAGGAGTAGGCAATTACTCCTAATGGAGGAGTACCTCTTGTTAGGTGAGAGGACCAGTCAGCAGTAGAAAGCTGGTACACATCAACTCTTGAGGTCACTTCCCTCTTTTGAAGGGAGTCATGACCTTTAGGTAAGTCAACCTGGTTCCCTGCCCACAGGTAGAGGGACTCCCCTATTACAGGAGCTTTGTGTTGAGCTCTGATTTTGAAACCTGTAGTAAATGAATAATGATAGAAATGAAGACAATGACTACAGAAAAATAAATAGAAAGAGAGAGCATGAAGACAGAGGAGGAGGGAAGATGGTAGGGAGAGATAAACTAACTTTTTCCAGACATCCTCTTCTTGACTTCTTCTAAACAAGCCACACCTAACATTCCATCAAATTAATTATCAACAAGACCACACCCTCTATTCAGTTTTATTAGTCATCACGTGCAAAAACGTGGTCATACAGCACTGCTCTTGAAAATGAATTAACATCTATACCAATTACATGTATATTACATGTATATTTTATATATGCCTATATGGATGTACATGCCTATACATGTTTATCAACCAAATAGTTTGTATTCTTATTACATAACCACAGATGGTATTTGATTTAATGACAAAACAAAGTACACTCAGTAAAGCATCATGATTCATGAAAGTGTGTAAATGTGTTCTGGTATTATTAATTCTTGGGATTCTTTTGAGAGTGGAAATAAAGTCATCTGTATCTTGATATCAAGTGATCTTGAGCAATCCTTGTTCTTATAGCAACTGATACTACCACGCAATATATCACCTAATGATAATAATAGCATACACCTAGTCATCCAATAGTCATGAAGTGACATCCAATAGAAGTGACAGTCTTGTACATATAAACAGACAGATACATTAGGAAATTTTGGAGGGAGTTAAATTTGTCAAATTCGGTGTTTTGGTAGCAATTCACCAACACCAAAATCCACCATTTTGAGCAAAATTAAAGCTTGTGAATCGCCAAAATTTAGCAACACTCACCAAAAATTTAGTCCCTAGCTCTTAAATTTCCTGTTGTAAGGTACATTTATGATGCTAACTAGTCCTTGGCCCAATTAATAAGTACAGAGAGTAATGAGTACATTAGTCTTAAACAGGGGCGGATCTAGGGGTGGGCCAGGGTGGGCCAGGCCCACCCAAAAATTTTGTGCAGTAATTTAAAATCAACTTTTTCATGTGGATGACTATGTAAACTGTGAGCATGACCATGCAAACAATTTTTAAACCACAAAGGAGCTCATTTTAACAGCTTAATCTTCAAAATTTTGACTCTGAATTCTGGCCTTGTTGGCCACACCCACTAATTACCACATCCAAATCATCAAGGCCCACCCAAGAATCCAATCCTAGATCCGCCCCTGGTCTTAAACCAGACCCACCTGTTTGAACTTGTATGGGTTCATTGAGGAAGAATATCGTCTGGTGCCAGTGAGTGGGTGTATCTTGTGGACTAGTACTGAAGTACACACGATAAGAGGGAACCTCAAACCCAATGTCAAAGTATCTAACAAGACCCTACAACATATTAATAATAAACCAGACCTTAGGGAAAGCAACTGTTTAGGATAATAGAATAATTTTTAGCGTCCGGCTAAATTTTGTGAATC